CATGTTGGCACTACTAGCGAGTAAAAATGATCCCATGTGAGACTTACATGGTGTGTGACAAAGCCTTAAAGTCACCGTGACCATCAAATATTAAATTTTGTGTTATTTGCCCAAATAAATAAGTTGGAGGGCAAAAGAATTAGACCTTCAAATTTAATGGTTCCATCTTCAGGTTTTAGTTTTTGGTTTTGGTTGATTAATTAGGAGTTAAGTCCTACCAACTACTTAAAAAAATTTCACATTTCCCATAATTCCCCATCTCCAAAAAAAAAAAAAAAAAGAAGATAAGTTGGAGGGCAAATATGAATATATTATAAGTTGAGAAGCAAAAACCCTCAATATCAATAAGGTGACGGGTACAATATGAGTTTTTGTCTTCTAAGCTAGCAATGCTAACATGTAAAATGGGTATGCATGTGGTACTGATGTGGCATGGGTAATGGAGGACTAATGGTCACGTGTTATCACATGACTATGCAAAGTTAAATATTATTTTATTATCCTAAACTTAAAAAATAGAAGATAAAACCTCATAAATTGTTTGATGAGGGGTAAAATCCCTCATACCCAAAAAGTTGAAGGACAAAGTGGGGGGTTTTTTCCATATTGGGTATAGTCCAACGCCTTCATCGCATCTCTATTTTTCTCCATCTTTTTCGGACTTTTCTTCTTGTTTTGTTTTTAACTTTTAATCACTTTTGTGTTTTTACATAGGCCTTGACGGGGAGTGGGCAAGCAATTCTAGCAATTCTTGTTAAATTAGGTTTAGTACTTTTTTTCTTTGGACTATAAATAAGTCATTTTCTCTCCCAACCCAACTTCTCCCGGTCTTCATTCCCTTGCTTCCTCCAAACATCCGAGAGCAACCCTATTACATGGCAGTGCAAGTTGAACTTAGTTGGGATCTTGTCCCTGGTACGATTCAAATGTGTATCGAAACAATGGCATCTTCTACTTTCAAATCCAGTGTTCATCCGAAGACACATGAAGACTAGATCTTCTATACAGCCTCACCAGATTTTCATCCTTTGGGGGATTTCTTGTAATAGTACTGAATTTAGCATCGGCACTCCATACAACAATGGTGATGGTAGGATTCTATTTCAACCATTGGAAATAAGTTTCTAGCCCAGCACTGGGAGGAATGTTATGACGTCGTAGATCACTGTAACGGCCTCTTGTGTGTCAGCTGTCGTTGCCAGAAGAACAGCGGCGTTATTGTTTGGAACCCATCAAAGGAAGAAAAGAGACTTCGTGCCCCTGATCAACTCCATGTGGAGAAGAGAAGGGAATATTTCGGGTTCGGTTACAACTCCGCCAATGATGATTACAAGGTCGTATTAGTCACAACTTTTGAAAACAAACCAGCTAAGATCCATAGTTTGGCGCTGAAGATAGATGAATTCATGGGAAACTGCTGAAAATGAAATACAGTACTTGTTTGATTGCGGCGCATTATATACAAAAAGCATGTTTTGATTTGGGAAGAAACAGAATGAGAGAAGAGGAATCTCCAAGTCAGAAATTATATAGCGGACGGAGCTATGCTGGCTTGCATCTCCTGGAAGATTCTCTTTGTAAGTCGGAACTGATGATTATATTAACTTCAATGCGTCAAAAATGAAGGAGAATGAGGTTACAAGAACAAAATCTTGGACTAAAATATTCTAGTTATGATGTCTTCACCCCATTAAGGTCTCCAGTCGAGGAGGATTTGATCCCTCCTGTCTGTTTCACGGCAAACGGCAGAGTCGTGATGGTTGCTTATGAAAGAGATGATTTAGTTCTATACGACCCAAATGACGAATCGTTTAAGAATGTTGCCTCCTATAGTAGAGTAGCGATCACCACAACTTTTGGTTTCCCGTGTCTCCACACCCGGAGAGTTTGGTATCACCACGAGAACAAGATAAATGCAGGAAGAGAAAAGCACGGTGAGAACAGAAAGGGGAAGAAATTGAGACATCAATGTTGATATGGCTTCGTACTCCATGATTTTCTCTTGCTGGTATCTAAAAGATTTCAATCTTATTCATACTTTCATAAATGGATAATTTCATATATTCATATATGCATATATCTCATCTTTCTAAGTCATTACATAGCTGCTACCTCTGCAACTAATTCATCTATTAATAACCGCTCGATTTCTCTACCTATATCATCAATGTCATGTCCCAACTCTAACCATTCTGATTCACTTCCAAGCACCTTATCCGTTGCATCCTTTTTCACTTTCTTATCTTGGCCTACAAGCAACTTGCAGAGGCTGTCCTCGAGCCCTCGTTTGTTCAAGTTTGGATGAATTCTTCTTGCAGGCTTCACCCATGGATGTTGATCGGCAATTTGCTGGTTCATCTCCAGAAGCTTTGAGTTTAGACGGTCAAATATCAGCTTCCTTTCAGCCCTTGACCATGAAGTCAGATTACAATACTTTTTCTCAAGTTCTTCAAATAGAAAGGGATTCACAGGGCAATCTGGTGAGTACCATGCCACCATGAATGTATCAGGATCAGTACCACTGATTCCAGAATCAATTAAGACATCAGTTATGTATGAAGACTCCAAGTTCTCTTCAGCCCTTAATATTCCCCTGTCATACGCAAACCGACTAGAAACTTCGTCAGCATCATCATCACTTGAAACAAGCATAGATCCTTCTGCATATGCCTCAGATTCCAATTTCAGTAGTTTAAGTTGTGTTCGAAGCCCTGACAACATAAAGGGAATCAAAACTAAAGTTAACAACGAAGAACAATACCCAAGAGTGACTGCATGAGCATTCATTATTCTAGAACTAGAAAGATATTAAACCAACTTATTATAACCAGTGATGTTATTGTTTATTAGTAAGTGCTTTAAAGGTTTATATCACATTTGTAAACCTAAAAAACTGAAAGATAGGATCAATCTATTTCCAATAAAATGCCATTTGCCATACACATTTTAACCAAACCCCAATTGAGACCTACGGTAAATCCCAATAACGAGCAACAGCTTCAAAGAAGATAGGAAGACAATAAGTTACCCACACCCCCTTTCCATGTTCCCGAATGTCAAAGATCAGGGCATGCACCAAAGGGACAAACATAATCCTGCACGCCATTATTCCATTTGATATTACAAAAGATTAGCATTTTGTTTTACTTTTCATTTCCCCCTCAGTTGACCTTCCATCTCTTTGGAGAAATATACATTTTCACGCACATCCCAGAAAGGTTAATAGCCCCACATATTTCACCAATTATCACCAATTACCCATGCAATAAAACCTAATTTTTGCAATTTGCATACGCACATAACAAACCATATTTTAATTTTTAACAGTGAAGAGAAACTATTTAACTGAATATTGACCAATAACGTGTATTTTTTTGTTTTTACAGTCCTTAAAACATTACAGTCTGAAGGAAGCATTTATGCCAACAAATTCTTTATAAAAACAAATTTTATATTCATCCATATGTAAACAGAGTTTAACTTACCATGGAGATCAGCACTTAGACTCTCAAAGCATTCGGAACCAGAAGATAAATCATCTACAAAAGGAGCTTCTATAACTGAAACCGGACTAGGCTGATCTGCCTCCCTGGAACTTGTATGAGATTGTAATTGGGGTTCAGGGTGATGCGATGGGGCTCCCTCATGTAGCCCATCCAATATATCCTGGAATATCATAATATTGATGTTAGCATTTTTTAAGCTCTGTTGCAAAGATTCTATTCAACAGTCAAGTGTGCTGGGAAAGCAACTATTTTGAACATATTTATTGTAGAACAAAGCGAAGGGGAAACTACAGAAAGTAGCAATGCTATTCTATTCATTGCTAAAAGCTAATGTTCTGATTTTCAGTCAGTTTTAACACGAGCTAAACTAATATAGGAATCAAACTAATAATTCTAAGGTTATGCTAGACCTTTTTGATAGCCATGGCAAAAAATGTCAGCCTCACATTCATGAGTAATTTATGTGAAGAATCCAGGCCTCTTTTCAAAGTCATACTTAGATGATTTAAAAAATAACATAGAAATTTGTAAAAGAAGTGGAACACGGATCTGCAACAAGATACACAGAATTGTCTCACAAACATTAAAATTTGTAAAAAGATATTTCATAGAACACAGTTAACAGACTTGTCTTAAAACTTAATTTTATGGTAGGTTCCTTGGGGAGGGTAACCAATTGAAGATGCAGAATGGAAAGTATGACCATGATGGCCCCAAAACAAAGTTGAAATGCAAATTTTTTTATCATTAATTTCATAAAAAGGTATAAAATATTAGGGGAAAAATTATCTTTTAGTAAGTGACAGGAAGTTAGGAACAACTTGAAACATCCTGAGTCACTAAAAGGGAGTGTTAAAATACTAAACTTATCATGATTTTAAAAGTTATAAAAGTGTACCTGAGAGGCCAGAGTATCAAGGTCCCCAGTAGAAAAGTCACCGTTTACTGATGAAGAAGCTGATAATTCAAGATGAATAGGTTCAGAAAGTGCAGCCATATTCTGATTGTTGACATTCTCCTCATTTTCATGAAAGGAACTTGTTACTGTAACAGTACTAGTAGATGCTTCTGAAACCACAGGATTTTGTGCAGGTTGCCCATCCTCCTCTAAATTACTCTCCACCATAAAAGAAGGTAAATCAACTTCAGGTGGAGTGTCATTCTTCTCATTATTATCAGTACTCAGAAATTGAGATTTCTTTACACCAGCCCTTGAGTTCTTAGACAGGGAACCTTCCCTCAGACTGAAGTTCCCTTTTACTGCCTTGTTTCTGTCACGATTTCTACCATCCCTTGGCACCACATATTTGTCACCACAAAAAATCCCCCGGTGCAAACTTGTTCCAGGATTTCCAAAATCAGCAGAAGCCGGAAGAGATCTTGATCTTGATAGCTTACTAAGACATTCATCCTTCCATCCATCCCTACTGCTAATACCCAAAGGTTCACCACACAACCATGATCCATCATCACTACCAAACCTATGGCTGCCTTCCTCAATCATGCCACTAAATTTTGCTGGCTTTACTTCCCTGTCTGGTTTAGCAAGCATGTCACCAAGTGTCCTGCCCCTGCTAGTCACACATATCTCTTGAGACCTGCATGTCATTTTCCACCTTTCTGATAGTCTCTTTTTGGCTTCCCTACTGACAGGTGATTCGGAAGAATGGGATGATGGTGACCTATGTCGGTTATTCCTGTCAGAGTTCTCTCTGGAAGTCACTGTTGTTACATCTGAATCATTTGCAGATTCACTCCCAGATATGTCACATGAACTCTCATCCCCTGCATATCCTCTCAACTTAGCGGTTGAAAATTTCACAGAACCATTGCTTGAAGTATTCCTCATTTTCCTAGCAATTTCTTTAGCAATCTCCCTAGATTCCCAAGAATTAGGCCTCAAAATCCCCAAATCATCAGAAACCCTTTTCTTGCCCCATACTTCCACCTCCCTATTTTTCAAACCCACAATTTCTGTGTTTGTTTTGCAATCTGATGGCTGATGATGAGAAGGACTAGCTGATGAAGAAATTCTGGCAGCATTATATGACCTATCAAGATTTGGTTTCAAAACAACAATCCTTGTGGGCAGAGAGGCCAGCTCTTTTTTCTCTTCAACTCGAACTTTACTTGTCTTGGGGTGATTTTGAACAGCACAAGGGTGGCTTAAAATATCTGCTTGATGGTTCTGAGGAAAGTTACCATGATTCTTCCAACGACTTTCTCTATCTGTTCTCTGGCTTAAGCTACTGTTCTCATTGATCAAAGTGTGTGACAACTTCTGGCCTAAGCTAATGTTTTCATGGTTCGGAGAATGTGAGAATTTCATAGCTGATATGTGACCACAATGGGATTCAGGAGAACAATTTTGCAAATCATGCAAATGCTTTGTGAATAATGAATCCGGTTGCTGAAGGAACTTCAGCAGAAGATCCTTGTTGGAATCTAAAACCTCAAGAGCATCATCAAATTCCTTTGAATGCTGAAGGTTTTCATCAGTTGAAAAACGTTTAACATCCATGAACTTGTGCCGGATAAATGCCATCTCAGACTCAGCATGATTTGAATTTCCAGTTTCCTGTGAGGAGTAACTAGTACTCTCCACCTTTTTTGAGTCTGTAACCTCAAAAACATCTTTGAAATCTTGCTCATCCTTCGAGTTCTTTCTAGAAGATCGCCGACTGGAGAATGTGCAATTCTTTTGAGCTTTCTGTTGACCATCCTCGAAACTCCCTTTTTGCTGCTTATGACTGTACTGCAGAGGTGGCAGACCATCAAGGCCCATCAATCTTGCAATAACACTTGGCGACCGTCTTCTGGATTCATTTTCTTTAGACATCTCTTCTGCTAATAACTTTTTCATCGGCATAGCAAATGATTTTCTCGAAGATCTCCAACGTAAATCAACCATGAACTGCAATACAAAATCATTATTCATTTGCAAATCCAGGATACTCCACTTATTAGTTGAATTAGCCAAAAAAGAAATTCATAAAAAAATAATCTAAGAAGAAGATAATATTTTGCACAAATAGACAGCAGGAAAATATTGGTCTATAAAAGATCAGAGAATTCAAATAGAATAGCAAAACAAATAAAATTAAAACCAGCTCACCGAATCTTCCTCTGTGGTATCACTACTGCAGGAACTAGAATCAGACGCCAATTTCAGAAAGTTTCTCTGTTTCTGAACCTGTCTGTTTCCTGGAAATGCATCTATAAAAGTGTTAGGATAGCTGCTCCAGGAGGAAATCAAATGACAGAGTTAAAATTCGTTTCAAATTATAGTTAAATGGAGTTAAATAAACAACTGACAGAGCAAAGAAATCAACATAGAATTTCCAGAAGCAATTAGGCAGAAAAACAAATAAAAAGACCAGAAGTCATTTAAATAAAAAGTGAAATTGCTAAAAGAAATCAGAAATATTCTTCAAAATTCACGCTGGCATTGAGGACATACATTTTGATTAAATAAAATAAAATAAAAGAGAAAAATAAAGAAAATATGCATTCTTACAAAATCACAGGCAAAGAATGCGAAAAAAGGTGCCACAGGAACGGAAAAAAATATTATAAAAAAAGCATTCAGCAGTGAAAGGCAGCAATCATGTATAATCATATCTCTAGAATTTTTAAAGAAATAAATAGTATCACGCCGAGACCACAGTAGAAAAGTCACAAAGTAATTCAAAAAGAAAAACACACTTTAAATAAAGCAACAATAAAGCCTCCAACCTTAAAAAAAAAATTATAGCGGAAAATTTTGAAACTGTTTGGTTGCTCGGAAGGGAAGGGAAAACATCAAGAACCTAGTAATTTTCAGGACTTAGTCGAATTGATTGAGCACAATGTACCTGCTGCCTACCAGCGTTTTCCCTACCTTCAATTACGTTATATGAACATAAAACTAAGGAGAAATAATGTGTTTGTTTCAAGAGAAAATGCAGGAAAATAAAGCAAATTGGCTCAGTGCCTCACTGAACTTCTATGCTAAGCAAATTTGGAAGCAAAAGCGCATAAATAAAGCAATCGGAATCTTCAAGAAACTTGATTCCCTTCGGTTTTCTCGGCAACTAAACAGAGTGAAAATTCCGCAACGGAAAAAAATGAAGAAAAGTGAGAAAGCCTGACCTCTAAGGGAAGCAGGAAAGTTCGATGCAAGTAAATCGGTAGAGCTTGGATGACGAGCTACTCCGGCAATCTTACTCCTCCTTTTCCGAAATGCATCCATTTACACTCGTTAAAAAAACCGCGAAACTAACTCCGATTCAGCAAAGACAGAAATGGCAAGTAATCTAGAAAAAAGTAGTAGATCGGCAATCCAGGAAAAAAGCACGATAGAAAGAACGAGGAAAGATTCAAGAAAATCATGAATCAGTCCGAAATTGAAACCCTAGCTTCTCCGGCGACCGTCCTTCTTCTCAAGCGCAATAAAGAGGAAACACAGTAAAACTCAGACACTGCGCTTCCAGATCTTCAACAGAAAAAAAAAAAGGGAAAAAAGGAAAACAGAGAAAGGAGGAGTTAGGTGCAGGTGGTTGAAACGGAAGGGGAGGCGAGAAAGCGAGAGGACGGCGGGCAATAAAGAGGGTGGAGACAGGGGGTCCGTTGGAACCGACGAGGGGAGTGGGGAGAAGAGAGAGAGAGAGAGAGAGAGAGAGAGAGAGAGAGAGAGAGTAAGTGAGGGAAGTGGGGGAGTGGAAGTGAAGTGTGTGTATTTTTGAATTTGTTCAAAAAAATACAGAAGAACTGACACGGGACGTGAGGGTTCTGAGCGGGGCGAGTGATGCGTGGGGGAGAGTACGACGCGTGCCCGAGCCCATTCAACTCAACACGCGTCGCTTTCTTGTAGATATTACGTTTGCCTCTATTTTGGTTTGATTCAGATTTAGCAACCTTATTGCTTTCATTTCTTGGGCAAGTGGGTTTAATCCCCTGACAGCTCACAATAATTTCCCTCTACAATCGACCTTTTATACCGTGATTTAAGTAATGTTCCCTTATTATACTGGAAATAATGTACATCAATTGTAGAATCCATGAAATTTCAATTTAAAACCATCTTATAAAATAAAAATCCTAACTTTGAAGACGAAAAAAGAAAAAAAAGGACTCCCAATTCCAAGTACTTAATAAATGAAATTCAAGTGGAATCCGTACCATATTTTACAATTTTATAATTAAAATTAAATATTTTAATATTTTTTAATATCAAAATACTTTGATTTCTTACAACATTATTATTAATTAT